TCGAATAGAAAAATAAGTTTTCTCCCCCATAAAACTAAAGAAAAAAATCGAATATTGCTTAGTGAAATATCTTAACCAGGTCTGTTGTGAGATAGTAACTCACTGAAGACAATGGCGAATGTGTCGCTCAAATTCGTGGATTAGTTGAAGTTAGACATTAACACCATTGGATGCCAGCTAGCTCAGTGGTCTAGTGGTTAAGTGCTCGCGCGCGAAACTAGTAAGTCCTGGGATTGAATCTCGCAGGGAGAGAGGTCGAGGATGCGTACTGCTGATAAGTCCCATAATAGGACGAAACAGCCTTTCAGTGCTTCCAGGTTTTTCATGGTGGTCTAGCTTCAACTGACTCATGATCTTAATTATTGAAATTACTACAATCTCCACAAGATACATTTGATATAAATATCTTGATTGTTTAATTTTGTATTCAGTAAAATGTTTCATAAACGCGGTCATTTTAATAAATAAATAATTTGAATATATTAGTCTTTTGATTGATTACGTCATGGTCTGAAATTTTCTCTTTCTTTTGTGTTTGTTTGTCATATTTCAAAATATGAATTAAATTTGATCTGTTTATAAAACTTAATTACTGCATATTTCATACAAAATTACATTTACAAACTATTTTTCTCATTGTGTATGTGGAAGATTATATGATATATAATACTTTAGCGTATAGAATTCAACCTTCACCTACTCATAGTGTTCGGGTTAATAGTTGAAGTCATCTTATCAACCAACATGAATGGCTCAGTGGTGACCAGTCTAATCTTTATTAATTGTATCGAGAAAAAGGATTAAAACTGTGTACTCGTGCCGGATACACTGGTGGATCTATGATCATGTATATACTATGAAGTCCCTGACTTGTTTATTTTACGTATATACTTAATGTTTAATTGTTAAAATAAACAGATGATGTGATAACAAATCAATCGAGTGGATACCATCTTATCCTCTTAATCATGGCAATTATACTTATATGCTTGCCAAGAGTGCAAAAATCTTGGAGTTGTGTATTTTTGACATATATGTATAAAACACATACTTGCAAACATAAGTTCAACTAACCGTACATTAGGGTTTAAATACTAAATGGTTCCCTACTGAAAATGTATAATGAATCCCAGTATATGTACCGCTAAAGTAAGTAAACATTATCCAAATGTGCTAATCAGGTTCCCAAAACGGCTTTATCAACTCTCATGGCTGAACATTTCACAATACCCGTTCTTCTTTCCTTTAGAAAATATTTATTAGGAGAAATCTGTGTACGTGGTTTGTTGACCGACATTAAAACGACTGTGATTTATTTTCCTATACCCCTAGTGATAAATTTTATAGGGACATTAAGAATTATCCGTCACTCAGAAAACTGATATCAATAATGAATTTAAACTACTATTGATTTAACGTTATTTGAACTTAGGGCATATTACTATTAGGTAAAACATAACAAAATTAGGTAACTTCTAATCCTGATAAAGTATTTTAATGTTTGACAGTATGGGGTTGTAGAATTTATTGAATTTCATTGAAATCATCAACTGATCAAAGTTAGACCATCAGTGTGAACCTAGAAGCACTCGACAGCTGTTTAATCCCAGTATGGAACTACTCGGACGTTTGCATCCACAATCCTGAAAATTGTAATTGAGCTCAAGACCTTCGGTCTTGTGTGCTAACGGTTAACCCGTAAATTATCAAGCAGGAAACCAGTGGTTTAAAATCCTAACTTTAATCATTCCACGATAGTATGCTACCATCTTTCATTATCTTCAGTGAGTAACTGCCTTACACGGTTGAACTCCGGTGATCATGGATTCTCACTAGAACTCCAGGGGTTGGACCTTGAAGCTGGTGGCTAGTGAACAAATGAAACTTAAGCTCTATGTAATCCTAACTATCCAACTCAAATAAGGCAACTCTACCAATTGAAATGTAAATTTTTTTCCATTATCTCAGAAAACCAATAACCAGTCTTCTTTAGATAACAATCTCTATTCATAATCATCACATAGTGTTATTAAGTCACTTTCCTGTGAAATATTATTTCTGAAAATTGAAAGTGAGTGAAATATTGTCAGGATGACATAAATAAGAGAATACGAGCCAATAAAGACTATTCATTTGAAAAAAAATTTATGCAAAGATTAAATTTAGCTACGTTGATTTGCTTAAATATAAGTTTAATGTTAAACGACTAACGATTGTTTTTTTGTTATTTCTTCCTATCCATTTATTATGTGTAATACTACTACTACTACTACTACTACTACTACTACTACTACTACTACTACTACTACTACTAATAATAATAATAATAATAATAATAATAATAATAATAATAATAATAGTTAATGTCATCATCTTAAATACTATGATCAAACCTCGTTGTAAACATATCGGCAACACAATTATTTACGTTTTTGTTATTTAAACTGACCAATAACAATGAATTTGACTGTATCTATCTATATATTTATGTTCATAAGACTGTGTAAAAAGAGATTTCTGATAATGAATCATAATCGGTAAAAGAATGTAGAGATTGCTGAGTTTCAATTGTGATCATGAATTAATCAATGTTAAACCACTATTGAAAACTTTGAAACGTGACTCGAAACTAAGACTTTCAGCCTCATGCTTAAGATACTGACAAATACTATGTACTTACTACTGAGCAGCTTCAATAGGTAATTACCTGAGTTCTAGTGAGAAGCCGTGACCAGTTCAGTCCAATCGTGTCAGGTGTGAGGCCATTACCCACCAAAGAGAATGAGGGATGATCGCGCAATATCATGGATTGGTTGAAGTTAGACACCGTTGGATACTGAACAGCTCAGTGATCTAGAGATTAGGTGTTGGTATGCAAGACCGAATGCCTTGAGCTCGAGTCCACTGTGCGGGATATTGAATGAACACTATTGGGGAGTCCCATACTAAGGCCAGACGGTTGTCCAGCGCTTATAAGTTTCCAATAATGGTCTAGCTTGGATCGACTCATGAATTCAACCATTAAGAAATATTTACTACAAACATAGACATTTGATTTCTTTGATTATGAACGTAAATCATTTATTACCAAAGGGTCATTGTGTCTGGGTTTTTATTTTGCTCATAATGGAATGTGTAATTCATTACTTATATATACCAAGGAAAATTCCCCAGTTCTTCTCGATAAATCTAATTTGTTTTTCTTTCTTTATCATAACTAGTTGTTTCTATTTTCGTCTAATTATTTAAGATTATTGAAATCGTTCATTAAGTATATCAAGTTATCAGAATGGGAATTTGTGGAGATTGTAGTAATTTTAATGCTTGAATTCATGAATCAATGTAAGCTAGACCATCATTTAAAATCTGGAAGCACTGGACAGCGGTTTAGTCCTAGTATGGAACTCCCGAACAGTGCTCATTCACGATCCCGCCTCATAAGGATTCGAACACAGGACCCTCGAGGTCGCGCGCCAACGCTAAACCTCCAGACCACTGAATAATCATTCAACAGTGTTAATGATCAACTTTAACCAATCCATGATCTTGTTCAAGCCTTCATCCATTGTCTGGAGTGGAAAACCGTCTCACACCCGAAATGGTTGAACTCCACTCGTCATGGCTTCTCACTAGAACTCCAATTAATCCATCTTGAAGCCAGTCACTAGTGAGCACATGATGATTATTATCAGGATGGGATGTTGTGGAGATTGTAATATTCTTATAGTTAAATTTACGATTTAATCTAAGGGATATTTAACAATACTGTTTGTTGAGTAATTTTCCCAAATGTCTATTTAATACATACATAACAAGTAAAGACTTATTATTTTTTACCTAGTTTAATGATTTTCTGAAAAACATTATTAGGCATCTCAAGTTAACAGAATATTCAAATCCATGAATTTTTATGCTTTGGCTACAAATTTTCATTAAGACACTATATAAGTAGTTTGTTTGATAGAAATTGCATGTTTTTCCTTTATTCATATACTTAAATATATGCTAAACTACGGAAAAATTTCCATACAATTGTTATATTCACGAGTTCTTTCCAGTAGCATAATTATTGTCTTTACCATTATAACTATTACTACTATTATAATATAATGAAAGGCATGAAACTTCTGCTAAGATATTGTGGTGTGTGCTACTTATATTGATATAAGTAGTATATTATGCGATTCAGAAATGTAATGTCTGGCAGCAGAAGATGAGGGAAGATCAAGAAAGCAAGAGCGAGAATAGAATGCAATTTGTATGAAAATGCAAGGACAATAAAATTTGAGGCATTTTGAAACACTTGGTGGAAATTTTGCAAATTAACGATTTGATATATGGTTCTCGGATTTTTCGAGATGCTCTGTAATTTTATGTTAAATACATTTGATTGTCCCATCTTGTGTTATCGTTCATTACAATATTAGTATTTACCAACTAACTGGCATCATTCACTTGGAATAAGAAAGTCTTTTTCCAAGATATTAAAATACCATATGTTAATTTAAATTAGTTTTACTCTATACTTTAATGAATTGAACAAAAATGAAAACACAATGCATTTGAGGTAAAAAAAATAGCCTTGAAAAATGACCTTGAAAATTACAATGGTCCATATTTCTACAGTCAATATAAACCACACCTAGAGAACAATATTTATTATTTAGTCGACAACTAATTATATATTTCAGAAGAGGGTTTTTTGTGAAGATTGTAGTAGTTTAATGGTTGAATTCATGAGTCAATTAAAGTTGCTGAAGGATCCCGTACTAGGACGAAATGACCGTCTAGTGCTTCAAGGTTTTTCATGGTGGTCTAACTTTAAGCGACTCATATATATATATATATATATATATATATATATATATATATATATATATATATATATATATATATATATATATATATATATATATATATATATAACAATTGACGGTTATTCATAAAGCATCCCTAGCTAAAAACAAAATATCTAATCAAATAAGAAATTTTTTTCTCACCTCGGGTCATCGCCACATCAAACGACCAAGCATTGAGATGCTGGTCGTTTTAGAGGCTAATAATTAATAAATCCAATTAAAAAAGAAACACGTATATTATTGTATATACGTGTATGGATGTATGTATGTATGTGTGTGCGTACTCAAGTAGAAAATGCGGAATAGGATATAATTACAAATGTCGATTTGTTAAAATTAATCACTCTTTAATGTTCACAAAATATTTTTTTTAAAATATCAATCTTTGTAAGTAGTATACATTGAAAGTTTGTATAGAATATAATAATTATTTTATTTATTTATTTAGTTTCTTTCTTTTTTTTCTTTTTTTTTAATAAATAAAGATCATGATATTTTTGATATCCAACATTGATTTATCATTTTAACAAATAAATATTACTTGAAATAGATTGTGTGCGGATGTGTGTGTGTGCGTGTTGCTATGGTTATTGCCGTTTTTTATATTTTTCATCATAGAAACTAAAGAATATTTCAGTAAATTCATTTGTCTATTAATTTTTTTCCCCTTGATTCTAACTAAATGTTGTCTAAAATATTTAAGTGTTATTATAATACTGATGGATAAATTTAATATATATAATTAATAATCCATAGGGTAAGTGGACATTATCAACATTATCATCATTATTATCTATTCAGTTTATAGAAATACACTAGTGTTTCATAGAAATGATTGTCATTTAGTAATAATTCTCATCATATAAGTATGGTAATCAGTAATGATAATAACAGTGATCATCACACTAATATGAATTTAGTATATTTAAGATTTTTTTTAAAAAAAATTTGTTATTATAATTAAGAAAAGAAAATAGAGGGATAAATCCTCATTTTCAACAACCAATCTATTCTATTTTGATATTAAATGATGCTGACTGGTTTTTACTTAATTTACCTGTCTGTATAACTATCTATATAAAATGACCTGTCTGTAATCTGATTCGTTTATATTTTGGATTATAAAAAAAAAAAGAAAAGTAAAGAAAAGAAAAGAAAAGAACCTATAGTAGGTATCATTGAAATGATGACCAGACAATCCAATTGTACAATTGTGAACAGGCTAATATACATATATAATATAGTTATGCTTAATATTCAAATAAATTCACAAGCAAACAAAGGCAATTATTATGCAGATATACATATATTGATGATACACAATGATTATAATGATATAGTAATAATCCAACTATATATTTGTGTATTGGATTTAATAATCGTTTGAAATTTCCCTTGGTTAATTATCAAACTGAAGTTAATTAGTCTTGGAGGTAGTGAATAAGAAATTCTGGACCTAGGTTTCATGTTATTTGATATTCATCAGCAAGGTATACCTGTAGTCTTTAGGAAAATGATACTGCATGCCGGAATCGTTCCGGCGATAATAAGTTTGATATTTAGAGATGCTATGACTGAACTATTCGGGTCATGGTAATGTCTTTGACTATGAAGCTGGGTGATACCAGATCGAATTCATCGAAGAGCATTAATCTTCTTGAGATTATGGCTACACCTTGTTGATGAATTCCAAATAGTATGAAATATAACTTCAGGATTTCCTGTCGACCACCGTTCATTACCACATGAACATGTTTCACGTGATATCGAATAGATTAGACTAGTGACTATACTGCAACTTAATCGATAGAATTCTAACAACAGTAAGAGGAACCTAACATACATGACATTAGTCACTACTCAGTGATCATACAACTATAAAACCGGAGTGAATTGTCTCGATACAGTCTTTTTGTTACGAATTTTGACAAAGTTGCTTTGTGGCTAGTAGTAAAACACAGTATGAGTATTTCACTATAGTTGTAAATCATAAACTGGATTTAGCTTGATTCTAGAGATATAGACCAATAGAAATCCAGTTATTAATAACAATAATCATAGAGCATGAAAACTTACAAATAAATAATATACCATCCGTTAAATAATTTAGTGAATATCTGGATTCAATAGCCTAGTGGGATTTAAAAGAATAGACAATATGTCCCAGTATTAGTGTGAATGCAGGTATATTCAATAGCATGACCTCCATGCCTTGAATTCCACTACTAGTCACATGTCAAATAAACTCAAACTGGTAATGGATTTATATTTCAAAAAATCAACAGAAATTCAGGTCTACTATACATTACTGAAGTTTAATGGATAGTTCTAGAGGATTTTTTCAACACTTAGAATTTCAGTAAAAAACAGTGTGAATTAATACCATATTTATCTATTAGTTGGTGTGTGGAGTTGAATGATATTTAACCTTATTGTTGAATATAACGACAAATTCAACTTGAAATCCTTGATGCTATGAGGTTTGGACTGATCGACAGAAACCTAAAAACCAGATTTTGTACAAGCTGGAACCACTTAGTAAGGTGCTTCTATAATCTCAAGGAAATAATGCTTTCTATAGGATTCAATGTGAATCACCTTGTGTCTAAACAAATAGAAAACTGATTAGCACTTAGTAAAAACTCAATATCAATACCACAATTATTCATTAAGTTCTTCGCTTGAACCCCCCTGGGATAGCTCAATGATAGCATCTCTAACCATGATAAGACGTTATGTTTATAAAAAATAGTTTGTTTTAAAGCAAGTAAAAATACAGCAGTGAATATTACCAACAAATGACTTCATTTTAAATTCACTGTTGTCAAATACTATGATTGAGATAGGAGTCTTTCATATAAACGCTATATTATTCAACTTAAGAAATGAATTATTATTAAGCCGGATTCATTGTGATTAAATAATGACAGTAAAATATTTTTTCATAGACATCTCACCTAAAAGCAGAAATATCATTACATTGTCACTGTTTTAATGTGCTCTCAGTGAAAATTGTCAACTCAGTTATTGCACTTTACAAGATTCCCTTATATACACTAGTATATCTCACAGAGAAGGTAGAAAATACCACCCATATTTTAACTTAGTAAGTAAATTCTAAGCAGAGATAGATGGTGGCTAGTGATGGAATCCAGGACGTGTGTTACGTCTTATTTGGGACTCTAGCTGAATCTACCAGCATCAAAGAGTTGATGTTCAAACCATGACTTGAAGTGTGAATCCTGGATTTCACTCCTAGTCACCATCCATTTCTGTTTATAATGCTCGTAACTTAAAGAAAATATCGAGGCAGTTCGCAAAGGATACACATATTCAAATAAGAGACGGATCAATTGCAGGGTTAAACATCAATGCGAAGATTCAAACAAACAATACGAAAATGAACTAGTAAGTGAGTGATTGACTTTTTTTTCGTGTAATTTAATTTAATACTTAAATAATTATTCAGGAAATTTTTGAGTTTGATCTTTTTCCCTATTCTAAAAGTTAATAAATAATGATTAATGAGAACAAAATTCAAATACTGTACATATTTACGATAAATCTATCCTTCCACTTTAACAAGGCTGAATGACCAATTTGTGTATCAAAAGTTTTTCTGTATTTGTCTGTTTATTTATTATTTTTTCTTTCTTGATGTGGACTATAATGGAAAATGCTACGAAGAGGGACAACTAACTTCTCATGATGATCCCTTATATAAAATGTGTGCAGGCGAATCCAATTAAACAGAGCTGTGAAGGCTATCAAATAAATCAGTTAGTTATGGCAGTTAAATTTTATAATATTTGTGAATTGTATTTAGACACTAAGTTATTGATTTATTAATGTCAACTACTACTGGGAAGGCTACTACAACCATCATCAAGAAAGTACAAGTATTTATAAATAATTGTCATCGTAAGATACTAAGTGTCCATTGGCCGGATGCAATCGGTAACAGCCTACTGTGGGACGAACAAACCTGTTTCCATCTGAAGAGGAAATTAGGAAGAGACTCTCAAGATGGATAGGAAATACATTGAAGAGATCACCAAACTGCATCACGAAGGAAGCACTCATTTGGAATCCTAAATGGAAGCGAAAAGCTGGGAGACCAAAGAACAAATTTGATCGGGAATTGGAAGCAGATATGGAAAGAATGGATTGCAACTGGAAATAAGTGTAAAGGATTGCTTAGAACCGAGTTGGATGGAGAATGCTGGTGGTCGGGCTGCACCCTTCCACGAATGGTAACAGAAGTAAGTAATTAAATAACCACTGAGTTCAAGTTATCCAGATTTGATTATTGACTAAATAAGCGACTTCAATATGTAACTTAGTTTATTCAGAGATATTTTTGAATTATGTTTTGGTTTATAATAAAACGTTCGTCCATAGTCTTCAACTTTTTGTACGAATTGAGACATAAATCAGTTTTTTATCATATTTAAAATAAACAAAACAGAAATAACTAAGAACGTATTTCTCTTGGTATGGTTTAGGACTGAAAATGATTTATCATGAAATAGGACTAACGATTATACAGTTATGCATAATAATTAACGATATTCAAGGTTAACAGAACGAGCTATTATTTAATTGTGGAGAAATTTTAATAATTAACTTCTCTTTATAGTATATTTTGATAACGTCATCTTAGGACTACAATATAAGCTTCACGACTAAATCTTTCTGATCAAAGAATACATCTTCTAAACCTTCATCAATCATTTAGAATTGTAAATTTTAAAGTATTATTTTTGTTAGTGGAATATATATTGGATTAAAGCACGTTCCGTGTAGGATTATGTTTGAGTATGCTGATTGGCTATTTCTTAACCAACCAGCTCTAATGGATACTTGGAGAAGACGAAGAGACTATAATTTATTGACGAATCCATCAGATTTACGATAACAGGTGTTAGATTTTGGCGCGAAATTCATTCATCCATTTGGTTAAATAGAGTCTTAGCATTATAACTGATGTCAGTTCGTGATAAAAACTTCAAATCTAATTCCTAATTATATCTAACGCTAGTTTGTGGTGAAAACCCTAAATCTAATTCCTAACCTCAACCATCAATTGTAATTCATAATCCTTATTCTTTAAAGTGCTTTATAACGCCCATTTAGCCCTAGTAAGTAGGTGAATACTCTCAAGGTCACTTTAGAGTCTCTCAAATATCGTCCATAAATTATAGTCTCACCGAGAAGACTCCAGAATCTTCTTGTGTAAAAACTATAAATAAACTAACGTTTTTCTTATTATAATTTCTACTTTCATCTACCCTCGTTATTTGGAATATTATTTCGTTCCTGTTCAACCGTGTACTGATTCGGGGACTTGTCGAGTGAATTGGTGTCCAAGATTATCAAGCAATAAGAGTAACTGGGTCGTAATAAGAGAAATGATAATTATTTTTATTGTACCATAGATAAAGTATAACATGGCAGCTTTAGGATTTCATAGTCCTGAATTCAGTTCAGTTAAATAATTTGGACTGATACCATCGAGGTATTTAAGAGTAGTCTATTTTATTTCATTTGGTTTCTGGACTAAAATCTTTTATTAATGTACCATATGATTAAATTAAATAAATACTCATATGTAAATATATTTCAGATTTTAATAAGTTAGAATACCTTCCATTCATCAACTAATTATGATGAACTTAATCTAGACAATATCAATTAGCATGTGAATAATACGGAAAGAATGGCTCCCATTCGTAACCAGAATTAACAGAGATTGCAAATGGTATTCAAAATAAAATGAAGTGAATAAGAGATGATAAATAAGAAACTACAAAATGAAGAACCAACTGAAAATTTAAAACGACTTAAATACTATTTGGGTCTCGAAATCTATACTTTCAGTACATTTTAATGA